GGTAAAGGGGATCAAATATATGGTAGCTGAAGGAAACTAGACTTTGGGTGGTAAACACACAACAGAATATATAGATGTCAAATTACAATGTACACCTGAAAATTATATAATTGTATTAACCAATGTTACTCCAATAAACTTAATAAAAAATATATATATATAAAAAGATCCCAAAATCAACAACCTAAGTACACCTCAAGTTAAAAAAGCACACACGCTGAACCAAAAGTTAGTAAAAGAAGGAAATAATAAAGAGCAGGAAATAGAGAATAGAAAAACAATAGAAAAAAAAAACTAAGTTTATTGTTTAAAAGATCAACAAAATTGGCAAGCCCTTAACTAGATTAAGAAAAAAATAGAGAAACACAAATAACTAAAATCAGAAATGAAAGAGGGGACATTACAACTGATGTCACAGAAATAAAAAGGATTATAAGAGAATACTATGAACAATTATATGCCAACAAATTGGATAACCTAGGAGAAATGGATAAACTCCCAAAAACACACAACTTACCAAGACTGAATCTTGAAGAAATAGAAAAATCTAAATAGACCTATAACTAGTAAGGGGATTAAAACAGTAATCAAAAACCTCCCAACAACAACAACAAAAAGCCCAGGACCAGATGAGTTAACTGGAGAATTCTCACAAACATAAAGACGTATTAACACCAATGTTCCTCAAACTCTTTCAAAGAATTGAGGAGGAGAGAACACCTCCAAACTCATTCTATGGGGCCACCCCTAAACCCCGATACCAGAGCCAGACAAGGACACTACAAAAAAAAAAAAAAAACCCTGCAGATTAATATCCCTGATAAATACTGATGCAAAAACCCTCAACAAAATACTAGCAAACTAAATTCTATAGCACATTAAAAGGATTACACACCAAGTTAGAGTTATATCTGGAAAGCAAGGATGCTTCAACATACAAAATTCAATCAATGTAATATACCGCATTAACAGTATGAAGGACAAAAACCATATGATCGTCTCAATTGATGCAAAAAAATAATTTGACAAAATTCAATATCCTTTCACAATAAAAACACTCAATGAACTAGGAATAGAAGGAAACTATCTCAAAAGAATAAAGGCCATATATGAAAAACCCACAGCTAATGTCATACTCAACAATGAAAGACCAAAAGCTTTTCCTCTAAGATCAGAAAAATAGCCAGGATGCCCTCTCGCCACCTCTATTCAACAGAGTACGGGAAATCCAGTAGGACTAGAAAAATGAGTAGGACTAGAGACACTGATCTGCCTAACTTCCAGGTTGTTAACAACTGCATAAGTAACTAGATCCTGCACGTGAGACATCACCATTAAATCGACAAGCATTTGATAAGCGGGACACATTCTGAGCAGTCACATGACATTTAATCAATTAGACAAAAATAAAAGACATTCATCCGAATTGGAAAGGAAGGAGTAAAATTATCCCTATTTGTATGACATGATCTTACATACAGAAAATCCTAAAGATCACACACACACACACACACACACACACACACATCCCCAAAAAAACAATGTAAATGATTTCAGCAGTTACGGGATACAAAATCAACACACAAAAGCAGTTGTATTTCTACACATTAACAATGACCAATCCCTATCATAATCCCAATGGCATTTTTACAGAAATAAAAACTAGAAATCCTCAAATTGATATGGAAGCTCAAGGGACCATAAATAGCCAAAATGATCTTAAAAAAGAACAAAGCTGTTGGCCTCACATTTCTTAATTTTGAAAAATAATACAAAACAAAGGTAAGCTAGTATAGTACTGACATAAAGACAGACATACAGACCAGTGGAAAGGAATAGGAAGCTCGGAAATACACCCTCATGTATTTGGTCAAATGATCTTTGACAAGAGTATCAAGACCACACAATGGAGAAAGGACAGCCTCTTCAAAAAATGGTGCTGGGAAAACTGGATATCCATATGCAAGAGAAGCTGGACAGTAACATTAAACCATATATAAAATTTAACTCAAAATGGATTAAAGACCTAAACATAAGACCTGAAACTATAAAACTCCTGGAAGGAAACAGAGGAAAAGTTTCAGACACTGGATTTAGCCACGATTTTGTAGATATGACACCAAAAAGCATAGGCGACAAAAACAAAAATAGACAAATAGGACTATATCAAACTTAAAAACTCTATGCACCAAAGGAAACAATAAATTAAGTGAAAAGGCAACCTACAGAATGGTAGATGTTTGCAAATCATATATTTGATAAGGGGGTTATTTAATATGCAGAATTATACAGAATTCCCACGACTCAACAACAAAAATGACCCAATTCGGAAATGGGCAAAAGACTTGAACAGACAATTCTCCAAAGAAGATATACAAATGGCCAACAAGCATATGAAAAGATTTTTAACATCAGTAATCATTAGAGAAATGGAAATCAAAACCACAATGAGATATTACCTCACATTCATTAGGATAATCACGAACAAAAGAAAAAAAGAAAACAACTTGATGAATATAGAAATCAGAACCCTGATATACTCTTGGTGGGAATGTAAAATGATGCTGCTGCCATGCAAAGACAGTATGGAGGCTCCTCAAAAAATTAAAAATAGAATTACCATATGATCCATCAAAATCTTTCTTTTGGTATCTATCCAAAAGAATTCAAAGCAAGCTCTTGAAGAGATATTTGTACGCCCATGTTTATTGCAGCATTTTTCATAATAGCCAAGAGGTAGAACCAACCTAAATATCCAACAACAGATAAATAAAGAAAATTAAGTAGAGACATACATGGAATATTATGCAGCCTTAAGTAGAGGAGATACTATTACATGCTAGAACATGGATGAATATCGAGGACATCATGCTAAGTGAAATAAGCCAGTCACAATATGACAAATACTGTATGATTCCACTCATATGAAGTATCTGAAGTAGTCAAAATCATAGAAATGGAAAGTAGTAAGATGGTTGCCAAGGTCTGAGAAACAGGGGGAAGGAAGAATTAACGTTTAATGCACATAATTTCAGTTTTACAGGATGAAAAAGTTCTAGAAATCTGTTGCGCAACAAAGCAAATACACCTAACACTATTGAACTATACACGTAAAAATGGTTAAGATGGTGAATTGAATGTTACGTGTTTATAATCACAACTAAAAATAAAATTAATATTTAAAAAATACAGTTGGTCTTTACAGCTCTCCAAAGCAAAAAGAAAATACTGCCCTTTTATTCTCTATAGCTTAATATAGCAACCCTTTCTTATTAAAGACATATGGTCTATGGCAGAGGTCCCCAACCCCCAGGCTACGAACCAGTACCAGTCCGTGGCCTGTTAGGAACTAGGCCGCACAGGAGGCAAGTGAGCAAGCAAAGCTTCATCTATAATTGTAGCCACTCCCCAGCGCTAACATCACCACCTCAGCTCCACCTCAGGTATTAGATTTTCATAAGAGCACTGGTCCCTGGTGCCAAAAAAGGTTGGAGACTGCTGGGATACAGAGAACATTTCCCACTGCCACTCAGTTACACTATCTTTTATGAAAATTCGTACTGACTCCAGAATCATCACCCTAAATTTTTTTTTAAATACACGTTAGAAACTAATAAATTAGAAAGTCTGGAAAAGGAAACTAAGAGGGGGAAATTTGTGAAAAAGAAAATGAACATACTTAAATATAGCCTGTACAGACTATAAAACTCATGAAACAACTATCAACATATACTGTACACTCTGTCCCCAACTTCATAAATACTGATAAAGAGAGATGTCTAGGAAGAAGGCATTGAGTAAAGTTTGATGTAAAACACATACACAGCAGATGTAAAATGGGTTACCAAAAATATAAAGTAAGTGGGAGGATAGAGAAGCCCTCTAAGCCCAGAGCAAACAGGCACAAATTAAAGAGAGCTTCATCTAGCCTCATCAGCAGGTGAGTAGTTACAGTATTCTTTAATAAGATAACATGAGTACTTCGGTTTGGAATAAAGTAATTCACCTTAACCAAATTAACCACCCAGGTGCAGAGAACTGCTACTGGCTAAAAGAGACTGAACCCCTTTATAGACACAGGGAACAGAGAGAACCCTTCCGGACAGAACAGGAACGAGCAACTTGGGACACTTAAACAGTGTAATATAAAACTCTCCGACTATCGGGTGTCTAATGAATGTGCTCCAACAAATAGCTCATAGTAATCCAGGGTCTACATTACTTGGCATAAGGAAACCTACCTGATAGTGGTGAGGAGAGGAATCTGAGAGGATAAACAGCTGCTGTCAAAGATTCTGCAAAATAAAGAACAAGAATGAAGGAACATTCTTTTTATTGTTTCTTGCAAATTTTCTGAAGTGTGTTTATCAAACTTTTCATTGGTTCGAAAGAAATACAATTATTTAAAAATACAGAGAATAAAGACTCTAATAAACCTCAGCTAATATATTTAAGAAAAATTATAAGAAGTATTATAAAATTCAGTGCTTATAGTTTAGCGTACAAATAATTTATTTAAACACTATCACTCCAAACTTAAAATGTACACTCTAAAGTAATAACCTGGAATCTAAAAACTACGATCAAAGTAATAAAGGTCATACATAAAGGATGTGGTCTGAAAATGCATAAATAACCTAAAAATACATGCATGTATTAAGAGCAATTTCCCTAGGAGACGAATCAGTTGAAAGATGGATGTCATTTCTAGGTGCTAGCGAGATTCCAGCTGCTAGCATGACTAAGACTGGCTGGCAACCAAGGTGAGGAGTTCTCGTGAGACAGCTGAAAGAGTCTAAAAGTCTCCATGAGGTACCCTGGCAGTAAGAAACTAACCACATCACCACCACCTTCCCCATCTCCTTGTACCTAGCTATTCCAATGCAGTTTGGCACTGGAGCCTACTGCCTAATTAGATTACTAGAAAGCCAAATCACTAACAGCTAATGTAACAAGAGTCAACTCTGCAGTGCAAAATGAACAGGAATGGGACAAACAGGTAGTTCCCTAAACAAAGGATACTGCGTGGATAAAAAGGGGACACTGGATTGCCCCTGCCTGGTGACTAACTCCCTTAATGTATCAACAAGTAATGCTCACAGACTTTACTAGAAATTAACTGGGCACCTGTTACACACTGCAGACCATGTGTCTAAACAATTTAGGTGACTTTCTAAAGCCTGGCTCACAGTATAAACAGATACTTGTTGAATAAATAATGAATGAATTCCAAAAACTTAAGGTAAAACTCTCACACACTGAGAAATGCGTAAGGAAAATTAGGGATTCCTGAAGAGAACAGAATCATTTTCTTAATGGTTATATTAACATTCTCCACATCATTTTTTATTGGCATTATTTTCTATTTTTGGTTCAACTGCTTTATATTACATTTTAAAATCCTTTTAGGATGTAGCTATATACAGATACCAAAGCTGAAACCATAAACCTTCATCCAGTAGTTTATATAGAGCCCAGTTTTTGCTCTCTTTTCTGCCTACATATAGTCTTGGACTCTGCAACTTCCATTCAGCACTTCACTTGTAGGGCAGACCCTACTATCTCCAAAGTAAGAGCTTCACTGTGCTAAAAATTATTTCCCTTCCAAATATCACAAGCCTGCTTTCAGTAGTATTTCTGGTATTGCTGAATGCTGAAAGGGAAGCCTGACATCAATTCTCCATAATAACTATAGATATTCCCTGTCAATCTCAAGGAAATTTCCAGACACAAAAACTGCTGAAAAGCCTTAAAGACACTGATCTTTAGGAATCTTGATACAGCTATGAAACTAGTGACTGAACAGAGTAGCAGTAAACAAAGCTGCCGCTTTACTGACATAGTAACTAGACACTTTAGATTGCTTAATAACATGCTTCTGTCTTCTCAATTTACCTCAGTTTACAATCAGCACATGTGGTCACTACTCTGTTACCAGTAAGAGGTGAAAAATAAGCAGATGCGATGCTCTTTGTGTGTTCAGTCACAGAAATCAAAGGCTGGCTTCCCCTGGGATTCAGATGCCTTGCATCATAAATATGAATATCCCTGTAATAGGAGGAATAATTCTGAGTGTTACCAGAGTACATGCAGTGAGCCTCTAGAAAAGCACTGAATATAAATTAGACACTCAAATACTCACTACACTGAAGATCAGTTAATATTCTCTAATCTTTCTGCATTAATTTTACAAATACTGGTATAGATTTTTTTAAAATATTAGAAAAATTCCAAAAATATAGCATAACAATGTATAAAGAGAAAAGATTCTAGTTGGTTTTCCAATGTCTCAAGAAAAAAATTAACATAAACCAACAAGTTATAGGTCACATATAACTTTTTTTTACAAGTTTTCTTCTCAAAAGAATAGAAGGAAATGCATATAATGCCAAGGAAAACAAAAATGCGCATTTGTTTCAATATTTTCGCTATTTGTTAAATCCAAAAGAATCTCTTTTTAAAAAGAAAAATCACACAAAAAAACCTCTGTGTAGAAAGAAAAATTATTTGGCCATGGGTATCACAAAAGTCAGATGTCTGTTATTATTGTTTTTTTTTTTTGCATTTTATTTTATTATTAGTTTCGAGTATATGGTACATTGGTTAGACATTTATATAGTTTATGAAACGATCCCCCCGATTACTCTATCACCACTCTGGCTCTAAACATAGCCATTATCTTACTGCTGACTGCATTTCCTATGCCGTGTGCCCCATCCCCGTAACCATCTATCAACTACTAATTTGTACTTTTCTACCCCTTCACCCCTTTCTCTCAGCTCCCCAACCTCCTTCCCCTCTGGCCAAAAAGTCAGATGTCTTTAACAACCAAACCAAAACATCAATCCTAACATTAAAAGGCCTAAATCACAAAATTGTATGAAGAACATACCTCAATCCTGCAGTGATAAAATACTGTCTATGTACCGGGTGGACATGAACAGTTCTTATTTTTCTCAAAGAAGAATTGATAAATTTCTCATAAGAAGTTCCAGGTGTCCGTCTATCTACCAGTGACATACTTCCATCCCAGTGTCCTACTATTAAAGTGGAGGCATCTTCTGTCAAGAAGTCAAAGGAGGAAAAGCTACTTCTTTCATTTCTATATACCTGAGGATGAAAGTAACAAGCAACTTATATATGTTTCATCTTTTAAAGAAAGCCAATGTATAAATTCTTTGATAAAAGAGTTATGAAACATTTTATTCTAATAAACTCATTTATCCTCCCATCATCTATCTCCACAGGAAGCACAGAACAACAGGATAGTCCCCATCTGGAGGTGGAAACTGAGGCACTGATCAGTTGTGAGACTCACTTAAAAAGTCAAATGGCCCATTCATCCATGTCAGGACTACATCCCAAATCTCTTAAATCCAATAAACCTGAGCTGCTGATCTACCCTGTGAAACTTACTAGGAAATGGACTGAATATGAATTCTACCCAATTGAAATACCTTAATATACCAAGTAGTTTTCCCAATAAAGTCCAAAATAGATGGTTGAATGCTCACCTACTCTTGGTGGAAGTAAGTGTAAAGAGACACAAATATTTGACAGCTGAGCAGGATACATCTATCAAAATATTTAATGTTTATACACAATAATTTCACTAAGATATACATAAGGATGCCTACGGCAAGACTGCCTATAGTAAGAGGCAATCTAAATGTTCACCAAAAAAGATCTGGTTAAATAAATGATGGTTCATCTCTACTTTGAAATACTATGCCATGCTAAAAAGAAAGAGGTAGATTTGTACCACTAACTGTCCAAGACATACCAGTAAGTGAAATAAGCAAGTTGCAAAAAAAAGTATAAATGTAGTATGAATCCATTAGTGCAAAGAAAAAACTATCTATATACTTGTAAGTATATGTGTACTTTCTGGAAACATGCCCAAGAAATACAAGGATGAGAGAATGGAGGAAAGGCAAATTTACTTTACATACCCTATTTACGGTAAATGTTTTATCATGAACACATATTATTGCTATAATTTTTTAATCACAATCCACAATATTATCACTTTGGGTTCAGGGCTCGCACACATAAGGAATAAAAAATAAATGTAGCATGTGTCAGTACTCAAGTAAGACAGAATGACCACAACAATTCTTATTGTTGAATCATGAACTACTGCTGATTTTTAGTTTTAATAACTAGTATTATAAACTGAGATTATAAACTGAGATTAATGAATTAATATATCAATGGCATCCCAACCACTATATGCCCCAAAAAATCCCAGTATACACAAATGAAATTTGAAATGTTCAGTGAGTATATTAAAATGGTTAAATGCAACAAGGGCTTTGGAGTCAAACAGACCCAAGAGCAAATTCTAGTTCTGCCATATTTATGTCCTTGAGCAAGCTAATAAACCTCTTTACCTCAGTTTTTTCAACTGTTAAATGGGAATAACATTACCTACTACCTCATAAGGTGTTATAAAGCTTAATAATATGTAAAAAATACATTCAGGTTAATGCCTAACAAGGTGATTGTTCAATCAGTAGAATCAGGAACAAAATGCTAATACATGCAACGCCATGGATGAATTTTAAAAGCTAGGTAAAAGGAATGAGACACAAAAGGCTACATACTGAATGGTTCCATTTACTTGATATTCTGGAACAGGCAAAATTACAGAGACACAGTAATCACATTGGTGGTTGTTAGGGGCTGCGGGAAGGATGAGGGGACTAACTACAAGAGGTCACGAGGTAATTTTTTCAAGTGATAGAAATTTTCTACATCTTGATTGTGGTGGTGGTTACACAGGTATATACAACTTGCCAAAACTCATATAAGTGTACACCTAAATTTTACTATTTGTAACTGATACCTCAATAAGCCTGACTTAAAATAAAATAAGTGAACTCTTGAAACTCAATACTAAAAAAAAACCCAATTAGAAAATAGGCAAACAATCCAAATAGATATTCTCTAAAGAAATATAAATGACCAATAAGCAGATGAAAAGATGCTCAGCATCACTAATCATTAGGGAAATGCAAATCAAAACCACAATGAGATACCACCTTATACCCACTAGGGTGGCCATACTCACCAACAATAACAAGTATTGGCAAGGATATAGAGCCACGTACATTGCTGATGAGTGTGTAAAATGGTAAAGCCAGTTTGGAAAATAGTTTGGCAGTTCCTCAAAATGTTAAACATAGAGTTACCATATGACCCAGCAATTCCACTCCTAGGTATATACCCAAGAGAAATAAAAGCATATGCACACAAAACTTGCACATGAATGTTCATAATGGCATTATTCACAATAGTGAAAAATAAAAACCCAAATGTTCATCAATTAATGAATAGACGAGTAAAATCTGGTTTGGTCATACATTGGAATATTAGCCATAAAAAGGAATAAAGAACTCACATATTCTACAACATGGATAAGCCTTGAAAACATTTTGCTATAAAAGGTGGCAATAATAAAAGAGTATAAATTGTATGAATCCGTTTATATGAAAGGACCAGAATAGGCAAATCTAAAAAAACAAAATAGATTAGTGGTTGTGTAGGGCTGAGGAGAGGAGGAAATTGAGAGCTAACAGACAAGGGGTTTTGGGGGTAATACTCTAAAATTAGATTGTGGTAATGGTTTCGCAGCTGTATACATATACTAAAAACCACTGAATTTTACACTTTAAATGGGTAAATCATATGGTATGTGAAATATCTCAATAAAGCTGTTTAAATATAAGCAAAATCAGTTATAATTAAGTGGCTGATAAAATAAGATGTACTTTTAAATTTCAGACTCCAAATTTCTTATAAAAATATAAACAAATGCAAAACAGAATGTGACTTGCATAGATAACTACATGGTTGTACATTAATAATCAAAGTGCTCTCATTAAATAGTTCAAAGAAGTCTTCTCACAAAAATTATCTCATTTAACCCATGATTGATAGCCCATCTATTTCCAATAAGTATTTGAAATATGAATGTTACTCTTAAAATCTTATTTTTAAAAAGGTAGAAATAAAAATTAAAAGAAAAACAGCAAAGATATTGATAAAAAAAAAACTGTTTCTTCTAATTGTCGGTAATTAGGAAATCAAGTCTGATTAGCAACACGTTAAGTCTTGAATCTTTTTTCATATAGTAAAAACAGACCTAAAGAGACTTAATCATCTTCGTTTTTGAAAGGAAACACAAAAACTATTAGCTCTCAACAAAAAGGTCTCCCCAACTGTAAGAAAGACTATTTTAGGAATTCAGTGACGAACAAAACAATAGCAGTTACATACTATACTATAATTGTAAAAATTGTTTTAAAACCTTTAAAAGTAATTATGAATCATCTATACATGGACTATTAGAATAATTACAAAGACATTAGAATGTGTTAATTTTGAGTACTGGCTTATGTAAAAAAATAAGGCATAAAATTAGATAATCGATTCGTATTTACAAAGCAACTTCAGTGATGACTAACCTGTTCTCTTTACTGTCTATCACATATAAATTGCTCTTATACTGAGAACCTCTAAAAATGTTAAAAGTCCCATGTGAAATTAGATAAAGGATAAAAACCTACATCGAAAACCTACATCTAAGTTTCCATGAAGAGAATTCTCTTGAGGGAACCTGATATGATTAAGTACCTCAAATGATATGTTTGTTGTAAGCATTAAACAGCAGATATTTATTTATTTATTTATTTATTTATTTATTTATTTATTTATATTTATTAAGTTTATTGAGGTAGCATTGGATAATATAATTATATAATTTTCAGGTATACATTATAATTTGACATCTGTATATTCTACTGTGTGTTTGCCACCCAAAGTCCAGTTTCCTTCAGCTACCATATATTTGATCCCCTTTACCCACTTCACCTTCCCCCTACCCCCTATATTTGATCCCCTTTACCTCCCCGCTCCTCCCCTATCCCCTACCCTCTGGTAACCACTAGTCTATAGTCCATGCCCATGAGTCTCAAACAACAGATATTTAAATAGTAGACCAAAACATAATCACTGGGATCCAATATTGTGAGGATTCCTAGCCAACGAGAGATCAAATCGGTTAGAAAACCTCCAAGGAGTAGGCTAGTGATTTAGGTAGACTGTCTCTGAGAGGATGAGTAGTCATGAGTATGAGCCCGAGATCTTTTGACTATTCATAAACCAGAGTTTGGACCAGCAGGAAAAAACTATATCCTCAACAATAAGCCTGGATAAAACTGGTTACAAATAAACTTGGCCTAAGATGTTCTGAATTAAACTGTCTGGGTATCCATTTCTTGACAGAGTACAATTACATGACAGCAGTTTTTCAGTCTAACTTCACAAGACAAAAACAGCTAAGCTAAACCAGATGTATATGGCACATAAGACATGATAAATCCTAGCTAGAAGACTAGAAAAAAACAAATTTTGTAGTTTCTGTGTTCTATTATAAGCCAAAAGTTTTAGGTATAATGTGATATAGTACTGTTATGTGATGAATTTCTCTACAGTCTTTTTTTGGTCACATCTAAGACTCATCCTCACAAAATTTGTATCTGCAAAGGCCAGTTATGATGAACAAAAGTATAATAATACTCCAATTTTTTTTTAATTAAAAATAAGTACAAGTCCTAAGCTTAACTATAGTAATTTTATTTAAAAGCTTTTGCAAAAATAAAATTAAAATAGTAAGAAAAAACACTTATTATGTGCCAGACTATTCTAAGTACTTTATCTGCATTAATTCATTATCTGCATTTAATCCTCATGAAAACCCTACAAAGTACTATCCTATTTCATAACTAAGGAAGTTGAGGCACAAAGAGGTTAAGTACCTTACCAAGGTCACACAAGTAGTAACAGATGGCCTGGGACATGGGCAGCGTGGTGCTCAAGTCCCTATTCTATACCGCCTCACTCAATCTGATTAGTATAATAATCATTCATGTGGCATTTCATAAAGAATCTAGAATATCCTCTGAGGTCAACATGTAAACACATTAACATTTACCTCATCAAAAACAGCCGTGGAAAAGTCTCCACAACGTAACGTGCTATCATAGCTCAGTGACAGTATGTGAGCTGGGTTGGTAGGTGAGAAGTAAAGACAGCTAACTGGCTGACTATGGGGCTGAAAAACATAAGTTCCATCTTCTTTAGGTTGGTGAGTCTGGAAGAGAATTGCGGGCAGAGAGAGAGACAAAAATTAGTAAAAAGTGGTAATATTTTCTATGTCATGGCATTAAACAATTTACATCTGTATTATATCCAGTCTTTTCTTCTATAATTGTACCCACCTCCCCTTTAGAAAATCAGAACTGGAATCTTTACACTGTTTTTTCCTAATGTTCAATCCAACAATAAGTCACACTTATTTTGATATTTTCCAGCTTTCTGCAACTAGACAACTAGTTTTTTAATAACAGAGAAAAACTACTGCTTATTTCATTTCATGAAATCCTCAGGAAATAAGAAATCTACTCTTTATTTCACACACAGCATAATTTCTTATATCAAAAACGATATCAATACCATTACCACTTTGCTTCCTAAGCATGAACGAGTATGTACATCATTCTCACCACAATTTTCATTTAGGTGTTTGGTCCTGGCACAAAATGAAAGTTTAAAAAATATTTCATGCCCTAAATATACCATGAAAAAGCACATATTTGAATTTCCACATTAATATTATTACTTGCAAAGATTATCCTTTCATTACTGAATTACCAACTCCCAAATCATCACTTTTCAGATTTGGACAAGATATATTCCTATGCCATAGGTCATATTATAAGCCAGAGCAACTATCATCTCCAAAAATACTACAGTATTTTTATTTTTTATTTCAAATTTTAAAATAAAAATTTTTTAAGAAGAAAAGAAAAAAAATACAATCACACACATTCCTTCTACCCAGAGTTTACTACTGTTAACACCTTGGCATATTGGTTCACAGTTAATTTTTTAGAAAAACAATACTTTCCATTGTTATAAAGAACTCAAAAAAAAAAAAGAAATGTACAAAAACAAAGGTTTTTAAAAAATCACTCCAAGGAAACAAACCATGAAAATCAGAGCAGACATAAATGAAAACAAACAAAAAAAAATTAGAAAAAATAAATAGAACAAAGAGCTGGTTCTTTCACAAGGTTAATAAAATTGACAAACCCGTGGCTAGACTCACTAAAGAAAAAAGAGAAAGGACCCAAATGAAAGAGGAAAGAGGGGAAATTATGACTGACATCGCAGAAATAGAAAGGATCATGCAAGAATACTATGAAAAAGTTTATAAAAACAAACTTAGTAACCTAGAAGAAAGAGACCAGTACTTAGAAAAATACAACCTTCCTAGACTGAATCAAGAACTGGAAAATCTAAATAGACCAATCAACACTATGGAAATTGAAACAATCATCAAAAACCTACCAAAAAGTAAAAGTCCAGGACCAGATGGCTTCACGAGTGAATTCTACCAAACATTCAAAGAAGATTTAATACCTACTCTCCTCAAATTCTTCCAAAAAATCGAAGTGGAGGCAATACTTCCCAACTCATTTTATGAGGCCAACAGTACTCTGATAGCAAAACCTGGTAAAGATAACACAAAAAAAGAAAACTACAGACAAATAACCCTCATGAACACAAATGCAAAAATCCTAAATAAGATACGAGCGAACCAAACACAGCAACATATTAAAAAGATTATACCCCACAATCAAGTAGGCTTCATCCCGCGGGCACAGGGATGGTTCAACAAACACAAATCAATCAATGTGATACACCACATAAACAAATTAAAAAAGAATCATATGATCATATCAATAGATGCAGAAAAAGCCTTCAACAAGATACAGCATCCATTTATGATCAAAACACTTAACAAAATCAGTATAGAAGGAAAGTACCTTAACATAATAAAGGCCATAGTTGACAAACTCTCAGCCACATTATACTGAATGGTTAAAAACTAAAAACCTTCTCTCTAAGATCAGGAACAAAGCAAGGCTGTCCCTTATTGCC